GTTAATGCCAAAGAGCTCAATTGTGGTCTCATCTGACCACAGCACTTTCTCCCAATCCTTCTCTGAATCATTTAGATGTTTATTGGCAAACTTCAGACAGGCCTGTACATGTGCCTTCTTGAGGAGTGGAACCTTGCGGGCACTGCTGGATTTCAGTCCATGACAGTGTACTGTGTTACCAATGGTTTGTTTGGTGACTGGCCCAAACTACCTTGAGATCATTCACAAGCTCCTCCCGTGTATATTTGGGCTGATCTCTCACTTTTCTCATGATTATGCTTGCCCCATGAGGCGAAATATTGCATGGAACTCTAGACTGAGGGCGTTTGATGGTTATTTTGTATTTCTTCCATTTGCAAATAATTGCTCAAACAATTGTCTCCTTCTCGCCAAGCTTCTTGCTGATGGTTTTGTAGCCCATTCCAGCATTGTGCAGGTCTACAATCTTGTTTCTGACATCCTTTGACAGCTCTTTGGGTTTGCCCATGGTGGTGAGGTTTGAAAGAGAGGTGTTTTGTTTAATACACATAACGAGTTGTCATTAGGAGCACCTTCTTAAATTGACAGGACTAATTTGTGTACCACATCAGCACATAGCCAGTCTGTGGGAGCCAGAAATATTGTTGGTTGGTAGGGCATCAAATTATTATTTTACTCACTGAACTGTAACTCACTTTAACATTTGTAATCGTGTTTTTTCTGGATTTTTGGTTGGTATTCTGTCTTTATAATTTAAAATACACCCATGATGAGTTATAGACCCTTCATTTCTTTGTAAGTGGGCAAACGTACAAAATCTTCAGGGGATCAAATAATTTTCCCCACTGTATGTGGTGACAGATGTTTTATCACATAAACTACACCCCCTGAATCTAACAGATGTCCACCCAGCATAATTATAGTATCCAGCCAGCATTTTCCTGTTGGCAGTAAGAGCACCGTTAATGGCTAGTAAGAAGTTAAATGAGCAGTGGTAGAAGTTAGCTCCTATGCGTTCAAAGTTGAATCTTTTAATTACATTGTGTTTGAGTATCAGAGACGCAACTGAGGACTTTTTCTTAGGCAGGACTTTTAGTTTAGAAACTTTTCAAAGGCTGGTGGATTGACTTTTAATGTTCCATAAACTGGGGTTTCATGCATTTTATACTATTCGTGATTAAAAAAAATGACCAGCAAATAGTTTTTCCTAAAGCTTGGATAAATTGCTCCTTTCCATTTTTTAGTTTCCTTTTACTTTTGGTATGTGTTTGACAGAGTTTTCTATAATTAAAATGGAAACTAATGCCAATTTTTCTATCACCAGGCTTCACTACCAGTCCAGGAATACTTGTCAATGCCATTTGATTGCATGCATAAACAATATGAGATCGCACGCCACCTTCCAGCACCTCTGTATGTACTGTTTGTCCAGGCAAGTGCCTACAGTCAGGCATGTGGTGAGTACCTGCATCATTCCCTAATATACACAGTACAATACTTCTCTAGGTTGGTCCACTTACATCTGCTCAAACACTGGGTACCAGTGCAGCTCGCAAATGGGGATTTCAAATAAAGAATGTACGATGGATGCAATCCTGTAAAAGTCCACTTCTTTATAATAGAAAATCCATAAAATAGGTACAGTACAGCAAGAGAGAATACTGGCACTTGTCACGCTGTCAAGCTCTTACTCATAGAATATTCACCACATTATTCTGCTTGCTAATTAAACACATATCACCGCAGAGGTGTTTAATCATTGCAGCTAGAGATAATCCGTGGATACGTAGTCTCACAAAATATAAATAAAAAAAAATTAAAGGAGAAGTATGGCCAAAGCTTTTTCAGCTGTACTTCTCCTATAGACTATAGGAGTGCAGTTTGTTCTTCAGTCCTGTGACCTATTTTCAGCCTACAGCAGGTTACAGCCTGCTCTCGGCTGACATCGCTCAGTCACTCCAGGCAGAGGAAAGAGTCCAACTTTATATCGGGATCCACCTAGATACCTGGACCAGCAGCTGGGCCAGCCACTCAGCTGTGCCTCTGGGAGACTGAGCCAGCTGCTCACTACCCTTCACAGCTCGTTACTCCAGTGAGCACTAGAGGGGCAGAGAGGCGGTGACTAACAGTCATAGCTCTCTGCTCAGAGTGCAGGGGAAACCTGAGGGATCGGTGGTCTTTGACTGCTCAATTCCCAGTGCAGAGGCAGCTTTTGACCTTCATGCGTTGCAGCATTGGATTAATGCCTCTAGTGGATTTGTTTTGCTGTTATTTCTAAAGGTTGTAATGCGCTGTTCTGTTTCAGGTCACATACAGTAAATTTATTAAACCAAAACTTTTGGTTTATGTTTGGGCTTTTATGTGTGTTTTTTGTTTCTCCAGTTGTAAGTTCGTAGGTAACGTTCTTACCCGCTGCATCCAGTCTTATTCAATGTTTTATGCGGAAGAGGAGCTTTCAATAATTGCTGTGAACAGATGCAGCTTGAATTTTTCAGCTTCCGATAAAGAAAAGCAGGTTTTTTTATTCAAATAACAGTAAAAGCCTTGGGTCCTAAAAGTCTAAAAAAAATTTAGGTATGCAGGTTAGACCTATTGCAATTGTCATGTTAACTACATTTTTAAAAATAATAAACAAGTTATACTTACCTGTTCTGTGCAATGGTTTTGCACAGAGAAGCCCCAATCCTTCTGTTTTAGTGTCCCCTGCTGGCTCCCCTGGCTCCTCTTTTTGCTGTGCCAACATAAGCCGTTTCCTATTTTGGCACACCTGCTGCCATATACCGAGCCACGCTACCTGTGTCTATAGAAACACAGTGCGGCTTGGCCCTACCCCACCCCTTGTCACAGGATTTGATTGACAGCAGCAGGAGCCAATGGCTCCCTCTGTTATCAATCTGCCCTTTGAGGAGGGAGAGAATGGAGAGAGCCTCTGCTCTTGGACCGAGCAATAGATCAAGATCAGGCTCAGGTAAATAAGGGGGGTGGGGGGTAGCTGCACCCAGAAGGTTTTTTACCTTAATACAGAGAATTCATTAAGATAAAAAACTTCCTGCCTTTACAACATTAAAGCAAGTCTGTCAGCAAAATTTAAGTTCAGAGACCTGGAGATCATGCTGCTCCAACAAAAGCTCTCTTGTTTTTTGTAAAAGGTCAAAGCAGTCAAGTTTTCAACACTACCGAGGTGTCAGATTTTTGCTTGTCAGAACAGCCCAGCATTCAGGCATAACAGCAGGGACTTAAGGCTTCTGCAGTTATGTACACCTCGAGGTTCCTGCACTTTAGACCTAACAACTGACAGAGCAGCTTTAAGATGTATACTGTAAAATTGTAATGGTAATAGAAACTAAATTTAAAATACTCATTTACAGTTAGATAAGGCTATTTTATTTTTTGTATTACAATTTTACATAGCGACGACAATTTATGCAGAGATATTTATATATATATATATATATATATATTTTACATTCACTTCAGTTTAAATTACTTTTTACAAGTTTAAGGCCTCATGCACATGGGTGGTTAGGCCCATACAGTGTAAAATCCCAGCATTTGCAGCATACAACCCACTGCCAGAAGCCTGTCATAAGCTGAATACCTAGTGGTTTTATTGTACTAGTACTAAAAGCGTATGGCTCTATTGTACTGCTTAGGACAGTGTACAGCCTCCCTATGTATTTCAGCCTGTCATCAAGTTTGACAGACTGCTGGTAGTGGGCTGTACAATGCACCTCTGTGCCTCCTGGACACCCAAAAATGTCTGCACTTTACACTTTAGTGCTTTAACGCCCTTGTGCCTTAAACTGAACTCAAAGTTAAGTGAAAAAAATAATCTGTACAGTCCCAACCCCCTTTCCCCCCTTCTGCCAGTCCATCATTGCAAAGTTTAAATGCTCAGTGGTGAAGTACACAGTGGCAGCTGTACCTGGCCTCCTCGCTGTCCCAACACTCTTGAATGGGGGTGGCCCATCGCTGTTTTTGCGTACAATACAGGACTTGCAGGACTTCCAATTGCCAGCAGAGTGGCAAAGGAAAGCATTTAATGAGTATTTAACTCTTGAAATGCAGGGGCTCACTGCAGGAGTAATTTTTTTTCACTTAATATGGAGTTTGACTTTCTTCCTTGAGATTGTTTGTTTTGACTTTTGTCTGTGTTGGATATTATTTTGTCTCCAATATTTTCACAGCTCTAGACACAGCACCATCTGTACATAGCAGAATTCCTGCAATTATTTGTCCCATACTTCTTCCTGGCTTGTAGCCAAGATATGACCATGTTTTCTTTGCCGTTCCTCCACATGTCCTTTGTCTTTCTCTCTCACCCTCTTATTCATGTCTTGCTTTCTTCATGTCTTTTCTCTCCCTGATGTCAGCCCACATGAAGAGTTACTCCCAGCCCTATAGGCAGGGTGAGTATACATCTTCCAGTCACATCCACTCTGTCATCTTCACCTCTGTGTGATGGTTTTGTTTTCACTCTTCAGCGCAAGCTTCGTAGAGGTTAGCTTCAGCTGTGTTGCTAGTGGCACGCTTATCTGTTAGTCCTGTAATAATTCTGAGAGTCTGCCCTGCTGCAAAACTACACATGAGCCTTTCCTAATTTGCCTTCTCTGAGCTGCTGGTGCAAAGTGCAGATTGCATTATTAACCTTGGACTTGCATGAATATTTCAGATCTTTTTGTCTCTAAACACTTGGGAGTTTATTTTTATTTTTTATATGTAAAGTGTCTTTTCTATATGCCTGTTTTATTAGGACTATGTGCATTTTATTTTTTTCATAACACACATAGTATTGTAACTTTCATATTTACATGACTAGAATAATTGGGCCAAAGAAAAGGGATTTATCAATTTTATATTTACTTAGTTTTAGGTTCTACTGATTTTCCCCATTTATCTATCTTCTGCTGTATAACCCTAGGGATTCCCACACACTCCCCTATGCTGCTAAGAGAGATTTACCAGTTGTCGACTGGTCATATTATTAGCAACACCTTGATTTCCAGCACACAGTTAACTGTGTCAGTAGGAAAGACATGTAATTGATGGTTAGCCCTCCCCTAATACCCATCTAAGTTAGAGCTTAGCTACCAGTAAATCAGGGCTCCAGATGGCATGTAGCAATCCATTCTTTTAGTCCAGTGTGTTCACACTAGATTATGCTGGGAAAATAAGCCATCCAAAAGACTGATTGACGGTGATACTTACTCCTGTGTTTTCTGTTCTGGTTTTTGTCTAATCATTTTTCTGTATAATGTTGTAGACAAGAAGCTCTTAGTCACCATTGAAGGGAATGTCGAAGAGGCAAAAGCTTTATTTAAACCGCCAGACGATTCACAAGGTAGCTTTCTGAAAAGCAATTATTTTATTCATCTTGAAGACTGAACATGATGTACTTTATTTTGTATGCCACTTGTTTTCTTGTCCATTCTTTTCTAAAGGAAATGTAGCCATTCTTAGGTCCAACTTCTGATGCTGATGTTTCCTAATAGTTTAGTAGTAATGCTGTGACATAGCTTGAATTATTCTTTCATACTTATAACCAGGTGAGCTTTAAGGCCTTTGTTGTGGTTTTATTTTTTTTTTGTTTTGTTTTTTTTGCATTTCCGCTATGCAGCTATTAATTGAGCAGGATTTTTTTATTGATTGATACAGAGGTTGAAGCATGTTACTATAGATACAAGGGGGGAATTAACAGAGTACTTCTAAACTTAGAAAAAGGAGCAGATGCTGCGCCTGCTTAACAAGAGGCACAAGCCCCTTTGTTAATTAGAACTGAACTGCTTTGTGTTCTACGCTATGTCTGTCACAGAACAGCAGCTAGAACTCCATGCTCCAATTCCTCCAATTTTCTGTTGCACAAAGCTTAGTTAATTCCCAGAAAAGTGCCAACTTTATTCTGATTTCTTCTATTTATCTGGACACCAAAATAATGTTTCTGGTACAAAGCATGATAGTTGTTAACAATAAGTGTGTGTATATTTGAAGCTTTAGGGAGGGACGGGTTAGAAACATCTGCCACGTCCTTTTTTTTTTTTTTTTTCAGTATTTTTAAATATTGAGGAAATTCCCCTTTACTGTACCAGAAATGTAAAAAGAAGTTACCATTGTCCCTGGAACAGGTGTCCCCATTGGAAGAAGATTTCCCCTTACCTCCTGCCTTGTAGGGACGCCTCTAAAATTTTGGGTTTTCCTTCAGTTTCTGCCTTGGTGACAGTGGTCACCTGTAGATCTTTAGAGAGGTGATTTTTTTTTTTTTTTTTTTCCACTTAGCCAGCAATAAAAACACGACCAAGAGTCTACCCATTCCCTACACTAGCCGTCATTAAATGTTGGACCGTGGTCTGAACACAGACTGAGCAATGAACCTGTCCAGACTGTTGGCCCGCCGGTCTTGAGCGCCAGATCCCTGCCGCTCAGCAGTCATTGGTTGCTGGGAGCATGGGCATCCCAGCAACCAATGATGTCACTTGTGGGCCCAGCCCACTGCAGCTCGTTCACTCTCCGTGCTCCCCGCTCCAGCTCCCTGCCAGCCCGCAAGGTATGGTGTGATGTCACGTGTGTGCCCCACACCCTTCATTAGGGTTTCCGGCACAGCTCCCACTCATTGCAGCTTGCTACCTCTGCTGGCTCCCATTCCCTGCCTGCCTTCAAGGTAGGTTTGTGTGTGTGTGTGTGTGTGTGTGTGTGTGTGTGTGTGTGTGTGTGTGTGTGTGTGTGTGTGTGTGTGTGTGTGTGTGTGTGTGTGTGTGTGTGTGTGTGTGTGTGTTTTCATAGAGATTTACAGAGGCACACTGATGGGCACATTTTTGTTAAGGGGCACTCTGACATACATATGATGGATATATTTCCCCATCCATACTGATGGGGAAATATAAAGGAAATGGGCACTTTGATGGGGGCACCTGGTTTAAAGGGGGACTCGGAAGGGGACAGCTGTTGGAAAAGGGCACTGCGATGGGAACGCCTGATGTGATGGGGACACCTGATGTAAGGGGCATTCTGATGGGGACAGCCTATGTAAGGGCTCACTGTTATGAGGGAACCTTATATAATGGGGCACTCTGATGGGTACAACTGATGTAAGGGGGAATACTGATGGGGGACACCAGACGTAAGGGGGCCTTCTGATGCAGAAACCTGATGTAAGGGGGCACTCTGACAGGAATACCTGATGTAAAGTGGTACTCTGATGGGAAAACATTACTTAAGGGGGCACTCTGATGGGAACCCCTGATCTAAGGAGGTACTCTGAGAGTGGTAAATGCTATGGAAATTGTAAATTTCTTATTTTTTCATAGACTTACAGTGATTACAATCTTTGAGTCATAGCACAAACTTGAGGTTCAGACCTCGGCTGGAAGAAAATTTTAGTGACCAAACCTTGAATTTTAAGTCAATACCCCTGCCCTACGCTGTCAAAAACGAACTAAAAACATGCCTAGAGATATACTTTTAACAGCTTCCCGACCGCCCTATAACAGAAGTACTGCTACAGGACAGCTGGGATGTGCAAAATCACGTGTGTGTATATATACGTGATTTTTTTTTCCAGATAGGGGCCGCGCGCTCCCTACACGTGCCGCTATTATGTCAATAACCAGGTCCCGGTCGGCGATTCTCGGCTGGGATTTGGTGATCTCTCCCCTTTCAGCATGAACAGGCTGCTTTGTACCGCTCTGCACAGCAGAGCAATAAAAAGCAGCTTGTCTCCCTAAAAAAACGCACACATAGTAAAACAAAACACAGCACACTGTTAATCCTTTCACCACCCCAGATGTTAACCCCTTCCTGCCCAGTGTCAGTACAGTGTCAGTGCTTTTTATTAGTGTCAATGGGGATGTCAGTGGCAGTTAGTCAGTTGCCCCCCCCCCCCCCCCCCCCCCCCCCCTAGTGTCAGAATGCCCGCTTCAGTCCCTCAATAAGTCGCTGATCGCCACCATTACTAGTAAAAAAAATAAATAAAAATGCCAGTATATATACTGCCATTTGTAGACGCTATAGCTTTCATTTACACTTATTGAGATTCTTTTAGCAAAGACAAAATACTTTTTGTCCTAGTTTTATGAAGAAATTTAATTTAAAAATTTGTTTTTACTGAATATGTTTTATAGCAAAAAGTCAAAAATATTTTTTGGGGTTTTTTTTTTTTTTTTTCAAAATTGTCAGTCTTTTATTGTTTATAGCGCAAAAAATAAAAACCGCACAGGTGATCAAATACCACCAAACGAAAGCTCTATTTGTGGGAGGAAAAAAGGACATATATTTAATTTATGTACAACGCTGCACAACCCGCACTGAAATTGCTACCAATAGATATTCTGATGGGCATGGGTGCAAAGGACTTTATAACATATTTGGGCACATCGTAGGACCTTAACTGTTTTAAGTCCAATTTCAGACATAAACTTTAGTTGGAATAGGATAAAACCTATGGCAGTTTTTTACCGCTGTTTCCCTGATGGGGAGATTTCCCTTTTGTGTCTCTAAGATATCAAGACTGTAAATGAGGGGAAATGTCTCTAATGGATACACAACATCAGTTAACACACATTTTAGTTGTGTGGGGAAGGATTATAACTGCTGTCAGGTTACTTCTGTGTACTAGGACAGGAAGTGAGGGGAGATCTCTACAGCAAGGACATATACAGCAATGAAACTTTGGCAGAGGTTCCGTATTTTCCCTATTTATCTAGACCCAAAAAAATTAAGATGAAAATTGAGCTTTATAAAAGAAAGCTATATGTAGTTTGCTTTGCTACCAGGGGGAACAGCCTATTAGTTTAGTTAAAACAACAAGTAACTTACGTGGACAGATCAGTGTTTCCAGTTAGTCTGCCTGGTTTACTAAAGGCTGAATGTGTTCTTTCCTTGCATGGTTTATCTTGTTTTGCTTAATGTGTTTTCAGATGATGAAAGTGATTCTGATGCTGAAGAGGAGCAGACAACGGTGAGTTTATGTATCAAAGGGTAGCATAAATTAGTATGGTGTCAGCTATTGTTTTTAAAAAAAAAAAAAACTCACTTAGATTGCACAAGACTCTTTCATAATTGCTAATTCAGGAATGTGCATTCACCAGCTACTTTATTATGGACACCTTGCTAGTAGCAGTTGGACCCCGTTTTGCCTTCAGAACTGCCTTAATTCTTCGTGGCATAGATTCACAAAGGTGTTGGAAACATTCCTCAGAGATTTTGGTCCATGTTGACATGATAGCATCATGCAGTTGCTGCAGATTTGTTGGCTGCACATCCATGATTCAAAAGTCCCGTTCAACCACATTCCAAAGGTACTCTATATTGGATTGAGACTGTGAAGGCCATTGGAGTACTGGTAGGAAAAAAAAAAAAAGCAACCGAATGCCTGAGCTCCTTTGCTGGATAATGGACTCCACAATGTCAATATCCCCACGTGCATGAAAAGAATGCAAGTCTCAACGGACCAGGGAAATCCAAAGAGAACTGTATATGAAGAGACAGAAACAGGGCGCATGGGCCTAGTGCATTACCTTTTTATAAATTAGATTTATTGTTATAAAGTAAAATACAAGAGAAATAAAATCAAATTGAAAGCATGTCACAAGAGATGCAATGTGGTCCAAAACCCCTGAAGGTAGTCTGGTGGGGGACTGTAGACCTATGGATAGCTGATGGCAGACGCGTTTCGAGGTTGTACCTCTTCCTCAGAGCCAATCAAGCAGTGAACTCATTGTCATTTTCAAGAAACCAGTTTGAAATGATTTGAGCTTTGTGACATGGTGCACTATCCTGCTGGAAGTATCCATCAGAAGATGGGTACACTGTAGTTATAATGGGATGGACATGGTCAGCAGCAATACTCGGGTAGGTTGTGGTGTTTAAACGATGCTCAATTGGTACTAAGGGGCCCAAAGTGTGCCAAGAAAAATATCTCCCACACCATTGCACCACCAACACCAGACTAAACCGTTGATGCAAGGCAGAATAGATCTATATTTTCATGTTGTTTACACCAAATTCTGACTCTTAGCCTAACCAAAATCTTAGCTGACGGGAATGGCGCCAAGTGTGGTCTTCTGCTTCTGTAGCCCCTCTGCTTCAAGGTTTGAAGTGTTGTGCATTCAGAGATGGTATTCTGCATACCTTGGTTGTAACGAGCGGTTATTTGAGTTACTGTTGCCTTTCTATCATCTCAAACCAGTCTGCCCATTCTTCTCTGACGTCAACAAGGCATTTTCCTCCACACAACTGCCACTCACCGGATATTTTCTCTTTATCGGACCATTCTCTGTAAACCCTAGGTTGTGCGTGAGATCCCAGTAGATCAGTTTTTGAAATACTCAGACCAGCCTGTCTGGCACCAACAACCATGCCACGTTCACAGTCACTTTTTCCCTTTCTTCCCATTCTGATGCTCAGTTTGAACTTCAGCACGTTGTCTTCACCAAGTCTAGATTCCTAAATGCATTCAGTTGCTGCCATGTGGATTGGCTGAGTAGCAATATGTGTTACTAATAAAGAAGCCAGCGAGTGTATATTAATAAATCACTTTTTAGTTTTGGACAGAACACATTTTATACAGTACTTATGTTTATTTTTAGTTATGTATAGAACTTTTTGTTAGAGCATGTCTCATCTAGTGTGAAGTTAAAAATCCAAGTTCCCATACTCATGATGGTCTGAGCACATGTGTCTTAGTACTGTCAGATGCAAGCTGTGTCCTCTGGAGAGATAATGGATCTCTTTAGGGGATGCAAATACAAGTACTTACTGACTCTTCTTTGACTGAGGAAAGCACCTCAGAGACCATAGCTAATGTTTGAGTGTTGTCTGGGAACTGCAATTTCCGAGAGAAATCTGTCGTCTTTCTAGATGGGACTGACCTTTTTAAATCTTTTAACTGCATTTGAATGTATGTTGGTATGGTCAATCAAAATGGCAGTTTCTGGACATGTACATACCTTTAGGTATCTTCTTGATAGATATTGGATAGTGAAAGCATAAATTTGATTTCAGAACTTTAGGTTTTTCTAACAATGTACTGAGGATATGTAAAAAGTACCAGGTAGTTGAGGTGTTTTTGTATATTTGAGAAAATCCAGGCAACCAATATACCAGGAAAAATTAGCAACCTATACTTGCCTTTTGTAGCATGTTGTTTTCTTGTAAGTGAAAGGTCTTGTTTGTTGGCTACCATAGTGGACTGAAAGATTTTATATTCCTCTTTTTTAATTTTCTCCTCTTCCCGCAGAAGCGGAGACGTCCAACACTTGGGGTACAGCTGGATGATAAGAGAAAGGAGATGCTGAAGAAACATCCTTTGTCTGTGTACCTTCAAGTTAAGTGTAAAGGTAAGCAACTGTTTTCTCTGTTTATAGACGTAGTTTTTGATGACCTGAGGATATGTTTGTCATAGCAAAGCATTTTGTGTGTTTTTTTTTTTTTCTTAGATGGCAGCTCACTGAATCTGTCCTTCTTCTTCCTTATGAACCTCAGTATACTCACCGTAAAAGCAAAGGTTACACCAGCATCTGAATTGTCCAATGCCATTAGTGCGGGGTAAAGTTTTATAGCAAAGACAACAGCCTTTAATGATGTATTAATCAGTCACACAGCTTTTTTGAACCATTTATAATATCCTCTCACATATCTTCCCTTCACTAGTGATTTGCTGAACCCTGACTCTGTGCTCAGCTGCCTCTACCCTGGGGACAATGGCAAGAAAACTCCAAATCCAGCCAACAGATACCAGTTTGATAAAGTGGGGTGAGTTACTGTACATGAATTTGATATAATCAGACGTAATGCCAATCTTCAACTCTCAGTATTAGCCTTCACATGTGTATTTGTGAATGCAACTATATCCGTTTTCCTTGTTTCAGCATCCTGGATTTGTGTGAGTATATTTCAGAGCTTGGCCACCCCTATTTATGGGTACAGACAATGGGTGGACTACACTTTCCAACAGACCATCCACAGGTAAACTTATTTATTGCTGAGTACAATTTACAAATGAGTTGCCATTGCTTGCTAGCTAAGCATTACAGATATGATGTTTTTATTTTGAGAATACATTGTAGAACCACCCCGTACACATAACCTCATCGACCTTTTCGCTAAAAATATATTTCAGACCTCCCTAGGACTTCTTTTTCAAGGTGACTAAAATTCGCCATGAGGAAGGGGTCTTACATTATTCTGAATGTTTTTTTCTAAGTAAAAGGACAAGAATGTAAGTTTTGTTTACCCTACTCTAAAGTTGCAAATTATCAGAAAGGAAGTTCTGTTCTGTTGTCTTCATGCAGCCTTCTGTGGTAGCAGACAATGCTCTAAGTGCCAGTCACATGGAGAAGACCATTCACTTGCTGAGGTCCCGTCTACAATCTCGGTTATCTCTTCACAAGCAATTTGCATCTCTTGGTATGTGTAAATGTCCCCTTTTAGCTGCAGCGTGCATCTTTCATGAGATACCAGTTTTTTCATGTAATTCATTGCTTCATTTTTATAGAGCATGGTGTCATTCCTATGTCTGGAGATTGCCAAATCCTTTTCCCTGCCAAGGTGGTCTCACGGTTAACAAAGTGGAACATAATCACCTTTGATGATTATGTGGTAAGTGAAGAATGTCTATTCACTGTATATTTAACTTCTGTTCAAAGGGTGCTATAGTGAATAGTGTCCTGGAGACAACAGAATCTTACAACATGGCTTGGTACATGAAAGAATTGTAGGCTTTGTAAACCTAAAGTAACGTTAAAAATGAAAATCCTGCTGTGCAGTGTCCAATTTTTTAATATTTTAACTGCTACTCCAGTTAGAGAACCTCTTTAAGAAGCCTTATTTCTTGTACTGACAACTTGACATTATTTCAAGCAAATCATGGCAGTCACAAAAGTAGTAAGGTATTTTATGTGATAAAATAGTTGATCACCACCCGGGTACACTTTTTTTTTATTGTATAGGGGCAGGGGAAACTGCATCCCACACAGCCCATTGTTGCAGTATTTAACGTAAAAAAAAAGAAGAAGCTGACGTTATGGTGACAGGACAGCTGAGGATGTTTTCCTAGGAAACTGCACAGATTCCAAATGTAATTTTCTAATGCAAACATAACCGCTTCCTGATTGCAATGGATCTCCACAATATTCTTTCTTCCATCCATTGTTTACAACTAGGGACCATATAGTTTGATTAGGTAGTTATATGTGTTACACCAAACTGAATAATGTGATGCTGCTCAATTACAGAAACTCCCATACACGAAAGATGTGGTGGACGCAGGATTAGCAGTAGATACTCATCTGTATTATTCCCTCATGATTGAGCGAGGGACGGGTATGTATTACAAAGTTATAGATGTGATGTAGCTTAATTCATCGTTCTAAATATTACTTTAGTAATATTGTCTTCTTGTGATGTCTGTTTGCCTTCTCTATGCCATGAACTATCTTGCCGTGCCTTCAGCCATTCATTTATCAACATATGTTAGCAACTTTGACAACTTTTCCATGGTCCTCTTTTCTTCATTTTTTTTTTTTTTTTTTTTTGTTGATTAAAATTTAGAGGTGTTTTTTTTTTTTTTTTAATTCTTGCATGGTTTGCATTTTAATTAATTTGCCAATCCAGTTCACACAAATTTAATAATTAGGTTTTATCTGTATACATTTTGCCTTCCCTGGTTGACCCTTTTCTCCCATTATCAACAAGCTAATGAAATTTATAAATAAAAACTGTCCGTCCGTTTTCTTTGCATACCTTTTAGACCCAGTGATGTCACTGTTGGCATAGTGTGTTACTTTCCCCTTAATGTTCTACATCATACCAGCTTTATTCTTTTTTTTTATAAATATGGAAAATGTCTTTGCTTCATAATTATATTTCAGTGCTCTTAGCAGTTACATTTTGGCAATGTACAGAGCTAAAGGCTGTTGGAGCACGAGATTTTATACAGCCATAATTACTAAACAAAAAGGACATTTTTAGCTGCAGCTTATCAAGCATGTTTTGTTTCTAAATTTCTTCTTTTGTTTGACTTTTGTTACCAGCCAAATTGCAAGGTGCCATGGTTCTTAATCCTGGTTATTGCTCAGTTCCACCATTGTTCAGTCTTTGTCTAAACTGGAAGGGAACACGCAGTTCCAGAAATGATGAAAACATCCGGGTAAGTGGTGACACGGAAGTAGGCCAGCCTCAAGAGCAGGACACTGCAAACTACAGCATGTAGTGACATATTATACAGTACTTGGCATATGAGTGTTGGGATGATAGTGTGAAGAACTGATTGCTGATCTCTACAACTAAGCCCAGATGGGTGAAATACAATGGAAGGGGTGGAAGCTTTTATGTGCACGATTTGGCTGAATGAAGTTGAAGTAAGAAACAACATCAGAGTGTGACCTGGTTTCTATGTTTGTTTATGCACAATGTGGGAACAGGCTTCTCTGACCGTGCCCACAGCAAGGGATGTGGTAGAGCTTGGGAACAGTGAAACGTTGGAATATTTAAAGAGTGTGTAAACTGTTATGATCATTTCTTCCATCTCTGCAGATTATGGAGAGTGAGATTAATGTCTACTATAAGGAGCTAAGTGGCCCTGCTCCTGGATTTCAGCTGCTGACTAATCAGATGCAAAGACTGTGCATGCTGCTAGATGTCTATCTAGAGACAGAATGCCATGATAACAGTGTGGAGAGGACCGCATGAATTTCCTCCAGAGAAGATATGTCTACGTTTAGTCAGGTAAACTTTTTAAAAAGACACTACATTTTCTTTACTGTTCTTGCTTTTGTATTTTTCCTGGGTATGCTTTGTATGGGCTGAATTTTTATATTGATTGAAGCTTTGTCCAAAGTATCAGTTACTGAGGTGTTAAGAAGATGGAGACGTTCTCTTAAAAGTTATATATTGCTGTTTGAGATAATCGTGTGTGGTCATTCAGGTATTTGTAAAAATTTGTGTTCACGGGGGTTATTTTCTAAACCTGTATGGTGCAAAATCTGGTGCAGGTCTGCATAGTAACCAATCAGCTTCCAGGTTTTATTGTCAAAGCTTGACTGAAGAAGATGACGTTAGAAGCTGGCTACTATGCACAGCTGCACCAGATTCTGATTGCACCAGTTTTAGTAAATCTCCCCCCACTGTGTCCTAAGAATCATTTCCGTATCTTTCTAAATATGTGTCTAATATTTACAGTATTCAGGTTCTTTGATGTCTGTCTATTTTAATAATCCGCTTATTGATGATTAGAATTCATCCACATAGCATGAGAATCCTACAGCCAGGCAGCTATTATTTTCAGAAGGCCAATATAACATTTGCAGCCTTCACATTCTCATGGAGGCTTAATGAACATTTCTGATCAGTCTCCAACAATAATTTCTCTGGATAATGTGTAAAAGTAGGATTTTAATTGTACATGAATTTGTGTTTTAAATTTACTTTGTTTAGAGCAAAAAAAAAATATTTTTACTGGGATTAAAAAAATATCCCTTTTGAGTTTTAACCCCTGGACATCGCTTGTACTCATATATGCGGCCTCACAGAAGTGGGTCTTTGCCCATGAGGCCTCAAATTGTGCTTGGCATGCACCGCACATCATGCTTCCAGTACAGAGACTGGGCTCTTACCAACACTCAGAACTTGGGACTCTGCATCAGGGGCGGACTGACAACTCATGGGGCCCCCGGGCAATAGGGGATCATGGGGCCCCTATGTCCTTGCCCAAACTCAAAAACTATGAAAAAGGTACCAGGGGCATCTCATGGGGCCCCCTACTGACCCTGGGCCTTCGGGCAGTGCCCAAGTTTCCAAATGGTCAGTCCGCCCCTGCTCTGCACTATGGTGTGAAAGAGAATTCAGAGTTAGTGTTAGGGTCAAAGGTCTAGGTCAGTATTTTATGGGTAGGAGTTTTTTTAAAATAGTTTTTTTTTTTAATTTGTATCCATGTCTGTTTTAGGTAGGATTATTAGAAAAAAAAGAAAGGAAAATGTGCACAATTGTTTCTGGGCCCTGCTACGGATGCATACAACAGTCGCATGCACATACAATATGTGGTATCCCTGTGATCCTCAGGAGCAGGAGTATTTATTTTAGGGTTGTTTTTTGGTGGTAAGTTATGGTAATAGCAAGAAATAGACAGCTAAATGTAAAAAACTATATATATTTTTTTTACTAGTTTGGGCCAGTTTTCCTTTTGATTATTTGACCTGAAAAAAAAAAAGGTATAATCCATCTGGGTATACTACGTAGTTGCGATATGTAGTTTTACTTAACACGTCAGAGTTGCAAAATTGTGTTCAGTCATTAACATTTGTTTTACCCTCAGTAACCAAGGGGTTAAAGTGGTCATTTATTTAACAGACTGAAAGTAAAGGTTAATTATAACTGTTATAAATGTTGCCTCCCCTTCATTCTATCTGTTCTACACAGCCTTTGTAAAACAGAGCATTGGAAAGAGCTTCCTTTTTTTTTTTTCAATTTGCTGCAAGCACATGATATAGGATACAGAAGCTGCAGGTACCTTGTATCAGCGAGCGACTGCCGCAGGGAAGGGTGCTCCAACAACAGATGGGCAATGGGAGTCAGTGGGTGATGTTATGCTTCCAGGAATTCAGAGCCATTGTCAAGCACACCTTGATATGGGAGCCACTGCTTTACTATCACATGAATGCATCAAAGTGGATTCAAAAAAAAAAAAAAAAAAGTATTTCTACTGACCACCATTATTAAAGTCTATGCAGCATATGTAGGAAGGGGAGGCAACATTTTTACTTAACACTTATAGTTAGCCTGTACTTTCACTTTATAGCCTAACTTCATCTTTTGCATCATGTTACACCCATACTTAGGGTGTAGCATTGTGCAAATGGCCCCCCTCCCCTTCAAACTGCCCCCACCCAATGAAAGAGTGCAGAGGTGGCAATTCTTTTCAGCCACTGTTACTTCTTCCACTGCAACAGATGGCTTTAGGCATGTTTTTGACACTGCTTGGTTAATGATATAGATGACAATGGACGCTGCTCAAACCGAACCCCAGGACTCAGAGAAGAACAGGATATGGAAGGATGGCCTCAGCCGTCACTCTGACCACGCCCTCTGACATGTATCACCCGACCATAGGGGGCTTGGTCACAGAGGCTATCTTGTTCTTCTCTGACTCCTGGGGTTCTGAGTGACGTCCATCCTCATCTGTACCGCTAAGTGTCTGGATTTACTTGGGACGCTGCTTCCATCTTCTTCTTTTTTTTTTTTTGCCTGCAGGGTGATCTTCATTCTGTCAGTCTTGAGCGGTGCCAGAAGCACATTCAGCATTTGGTTAACGCATATTATTTTTACAGTATATCCTTTGTGGCAATGAACAAATATATTTAAATGAGTTTTTTTTGTGCACAGACTTCAGTTTTAGTTTTGATATTTATTATTCTGTATGTCTTATTTTCTACTTATTTGAAGTGTAAATAAAATCTTTCTCCATTACAGGGGACCAAGCCGCACCAAGCCTTTCAAGTATAATTATCCACAAGGATTTTTCAGCCATCGTTGATTCTTCAAACCTTCCCAGAGCCATGCTCTATGCTATGCAGCATTTCCCACAAAACTTTGTTTTTCAATATATTCCTTGTAATGGATTGAAATAAATGTATTTGTATTTGTTTTATTTTGTGTAGCCTGTATTTATTTCCTTTTTCCCCAAGATATTCTTTCGTCCATGGTCTTTTTCTACAGTCTGTCTTCTATGTTTTTATCAAGAACTGATATACAAAATGTAATCACTTGTTTCAAACTGGATTTATTAGGTTTAGCATTGAGAAAATATCAGCAAGGAGGGACAATTTCTAACTACCCATTATTGCAGAAGACATTGCAACACACTGATATTTACTGTAAGAAGTTGCTGTATGTTCATATAGTAGAGATACAATGCTTACATTTAATACAGTATTCTGGTTTTGTAGGCCCTCTGTTAATCATACTTGTACAGCATCTTGATCAATTTTCTGCAGTTAGATTTGAGCCCATTCATTTTTGATAGCAAAAATCACAATGCATCTGCATCAAAAAGGCACAGGCACTGGAATTGGATCGCATGGATGTTTATACCCATGCGATCCGGTTCAGGCATACACACTGCATTTACGATCTGCTTTTGGGGTGTCGTTAATTTTTGACACTGGTGGCAAATTGCAGAACACAGTGCCAGTGTGATGCAGTGCGGGAAAACGTACAGGATTTGTTGCATTTCCTGCACCACATATGTGTGAACCAAGGTTGAAGGACAACTGTGTGAAGGAGTTATGTCTTTAGACTAAATAAATTAGTAATTAGTCAGCTTTTTCCCGTCTGTCTCATTCCAGAGATTTCCCTGCATTTCCTGTCATAAAGACACAACAGAAAATTTGGATTGTTCATTGCTTTCAGTTCTGGAGCGTTGGCTGATATTATCCAAATATTGCAATAGCCAAATTTGGACTATGACAGAAATCTCCTGGTTTGCAGTTGAATGGGTCAGGATTCGTCATTAGTTGTTATGACACTGGTGGCTGCCTAGCCAAGTGTCCTATCAACCGATGACAAGGTTTCACTGATAGTGGGCAGAGCCTGATGGGGGACTGGTTCCCCATCCATCTGCCTTGTGATTGACAGTGTACAGATGTGGGGAAATTCCATACTATATTTAGTTTGGTCTAACAGCAGCGCAAAGGCAAATTCCTGGACCTTTGCACCCACTGCTGCTCCAATCACAAGACTGTGCCTCTCAGTTACCTTCTCCCATGCTGCATTAAACCACTCCAGCAGCTCCTTCCATGAAATATGCTGCCCAGGACATAATGCCTACTGCTGCAGCTGGGGAAAACTAGGCACCAACAGCTCCGGCCTGGAAGCAAGAGGTAAGACACACCTCTCCTTGCATCCCTCCTATCGGCCATCATCCTCATGCTCTAGTCTCTCTGTCATTCCACCAGTGTTCAGAGATGTAGTGTCTGCTAGCCTGGTCACAGACAGTCTACCCCTAGAGTACACCACAGAGGACACTCGTCCCCAGCAGAAATGTCGGCCATCTTGCTTTCTCTTCCTACTAGGCAGGATATAGAGGCTATCATGACCAGGCATGAATCATCCCTCAGGAATGATATCTAAAAAGCTAACTGCCTATAAACTCACTGGGAAAAAAAGGTGGCCACCTTAACAATGGATAGAGACACGATCTTACAATGTGTTCCTATTCTTGAAACTCTCCAGGAAAAACTGAATCCGCTTACCCTGCAGCACAATGATTTAGAAAACCACCATAAGCACAAAAGCATCAACTTCAATGGTATACCCAAAGCGAAAACAATTATGACCTCAAAGCCACTGTATAAGGCATATTAAATGGCCTACTGAATAAGCCCTCTACCTCTCCTATGGAGAGCAATAGAATGCATAAGGTTAAAGTAGAACTGTAGGCAAAACAGTTATTTTCATTTTGGATAGAGTTAGGGAGGGTTATAAACACTGTCAGTCAGCCATGTCTCATTGGAGAAATTTACCTTCACCTCCTGTCCCATAGTCAAAAAAAGACGCAAGAAAATCTCTGCAAATTAAGTGAATTTCTTGGAGACCCCAGGTCACCAGAGCCTAGTGTTCTTGTTGGAAGATTTTTTTTCCCCCTGCTACTTTTCTGGGAACAGTCCAAAATTTGCGTTTTCTTTTACTGTCACTTTCGATGATAGAGGTAAACAGGACAAATAGGTTTTTGTTTTTTTTCTGTCTGTGTCCGTTAGGGAGATTCACCCTAACAGGCTCCAATCCCTCTCCATTCTATCCAAAACTAAAAAAAACAAATGTTATGCCTTTAGTTATACTTTAATACTTCCAGTGGTGTGGAGTGCTCCCTACCAAGGATTGTTTATATAGAGCACACTTCTTCACACTGAAAGAGGAGATTATGCACAGGGCATTGAATAGAGACACAATTCAGTTTGATGGGGTGAACATTAAAATTCTCTTATAGAACACTTTTCACGCAATGCCAACTGCAACCCATGCTGGATAAATATATCTCCACTACACAGCCTTATACTCTATATATTTGTCATGTATATGATGCAGACCTTATGTGAAAACAATAAGGTCATAAAATATTAATTTATAACTAAAGTGCTGATTGCTTAATAATCAGTGCTATCAATAAACAGATCTTTCTACCACTAAAAGTGTCCAGTGTTCAATTTTATCAACTAAAGTGTCCAGTGCATCCAATAAATGAATTAATGTTTCAATTCATTCAATGTTCGGTGATCAGTATTTTCCAACTGCCTCAATGCCTGCTGTCAATATAAAGTTCCCCACAACACACTGTGCTTCTTTTCTAGTGGTGTTTCCTATAACTTTTTTACCATTTTCATAAAAAAAAATAGCACTTTTTCCCCAAACGAGTGTGAATAAAACAAATGTGATTAAATATTTTCAATTGAAAGTATAAAAAAAAAAAGATATGAAATCAGGTCATTTATCTCACGTATGTCACATACATTCAGGAGGGCCTCCAGTACATTGGTAAGACAACCAGAAAGCTAAGCACATGGCTTGGAAGAACATACAAAAAAAAGATACAGTGGATATAAAAAGTCTACACACCCCTGTTAAAATGTCAGGTTTCTGTGATGTAAAAAAAAAAAATGAGACAAAGATATAAATCATTTCAGAACTTTTTTCACATTTAATGTAAACTATAAACTACAACTCAATTGAAAATTTTTTTAATTTTTTGGGGGGGGGGAAGTAAACATAAAAAACTAAAATAATGTGGTTGCATAAGTGTGCACACCCTCTTATAACTGGGGCTGTAGCTGTGTTCAGAATTAAACAATCACATTCAAACTCATGTTAAATAGGAGTTAGCACACACCTGCCATCATTTAAAGTGCCTCTGATTAACCCCAAATAAAGTTCAGCTGTTCTAGGTCTTTCCTGACATTTTCTAGGTCACATCCTACAGCAAAAGCCATGGTCCACAGAGAGCTTCCAAAGCATCAGAGGGATCTCATTGTTAAAAGGTTTCAGTCAGGAGAAGGGTACAAAAGAATTTCCAAGGCATTAGATATACTATGGAACACAGTGAAGACAGTCATCTTCAAGTGGAGAACATAGGGCGTAACCGTGACATTACCAAGAACTGGACATCCCTCCAAAATTGATGAAAAAACGAGAAGAAAATTGGTCTGGGAGGCTGCCAGGAGGCCTACAGCAACATTAAAGGAGCTGCAGGAATATCTGCCAAGTGTGGTACAGGTGACAACAATCTCCCATATTCTTCATATGTCTGGGCTATGGGGTAGAGTGGCAAGACAAAAGCCTTTTCTTACGAAGAAAAACATCCAGGCCCTGCTAAATTATGCAAAAACACATCTGAAGTCTCCCAAAAGCATGTGGGAACATGTGTTTATGGTCTGAGGAAACCAAGGTTGAACTTTTTGACCATAATTCCAAAAGCTATGTTTGGAGCAAAAACAACACTGCCCATCACCAAAAGAGCACCATACCCACAGTGAAGCATGATGGTGGCAGCATCATGCTTCGGGGTTGTTTTTCTTCATCTGGAACTGGGGCCTTAGACAAGGTAGAGGGAATTATGAACAATTCTAAATACCAGCCAATATTGGCACAAAACTTTCAGGCTTCTGCTAGAAAGCTGAACATGAAAAGGAACTTCATCTTTCATCAGCATGACAACAACCCAAAGCATACATTCAAATAAACAAAGGAATGGCTTCACCAGAAGAAGACTAAAGTTTTGGAATGGCCCAGCCAGAGCCCAGACCTGAATCCAATCAAAAATCTGTGAGGTGATCTGAAGAGGGCTGTGCACAGGAGATGCCTCGCAATCTGACAGATTTGGAGTGTTTTTGCAAGGAAGAGTGGGCAAATATTGCCAAGTCAAGATGCGCCATGCTGATAGACTCATACCTAAAAAGACTGAGTGCTGGAATAAGATCAAAAGGTGCTTCAATAAAGAATTAGTTTAAGGATGTGCACACTTATGCAACAATATTATTTTAGTTTTTTAGTTTTACTTCCCTCCACCTAAAATATTTAGTTTGTTCAACTGAGTTGTACAATTTATAGGTTACATTAAAGGTGGAAAAAGTTCTGAAATGATTTATCTTTGTCTCATTTTCTACATCACAGAAACCTGACATTTTAATAGGGGTGTATAGACTTTTTTATATCCACTGTACACAAAACATAGTGTATCAAGGCACTTTAAAGTTGTATGTACTATGTACTTTTCTATTAACTAACCGCCAAAGCTAATGGCCACTATTCAGTGCTCCTACTCCTTGACCTCTCTGCGGCCTTCGACACAGTCGACCACCCCCTTCTCCTCAAAAAACTACACTCCCTCGGCCTCAGAGATTCTGCTCTCTCCTGGCTCTCATCCTACCTGTCACAACGCTCCTTCAGCGTTACCTATAATGCTACCACCTCCCCCTCACTCCCCCTCTCTGTTGGGGTCCCTCAAGGCTCTGTCCTCGGGCCCCTTCTCTTCTCCATCTATAC